TAGGTCTGTGATGGAGCCTATACATCTGAGAGAGGTCTACATGATGCTGCCTCTCGACGTTGCAAAAGACATTGGCGATCGCGTGAAGAGAAGGGAAATCACGGTGCACTATCATTGGATCTGCAATCAGAAACGGCTGTTTGAGAGAGAGCTCCTCGTTCTGCCCGAAAATGGGGCGTACTCGCATGACGTGTACGACTTTGATTACATGTACCACGTCACATATGTTCCAACCGAAATATGCTGGTATGCTAAGACACACTACTCTTGCCTTAGGTTCACAGACACGACGGAGATGTCTTTCTACTTTGATGACGTCTACTTTGATGAGTTGGATGTCAGTGTGATATCAGAGAAGCAAGCTCTGAACATGTTGTACAGTATCCTTGTGAGAGGATCGTGGGGTAAAGCTGGCCGTATATCTGATCTGAGGTGTTTCAACGAGGACGCGCCCGGAGGCAATTCGGACGAGGATCCCAACTCCTCTGAAACATCGGACTGCGAAGACCAAGTGGACTATGACATGAGGCCCGACTCAGAGATGGTGAAGGACTTCTTTCCAGATTCTCGGACGTTGGATGCATTCGTTAGTATGATGACGCTTTACAAGAAGGATCTAGAAACGTTCTGCGCAGAGTACAAACAGAGTCAGGTCAGAGCAAAGGAGTGTCTTCAGCAGCTATACTTGGAAGATGTGAAAGTGCTTTTTGAAGACCATGATAGTTGACCGTCCTCTTCAACCTCTCTGCAGGAAGATGATATCTTCAACTTCTCGGGGACCACCCTCATCTCCCACGGCCTGCTGCTTCGGAATCACTTTGCGGCGGCGCTCGGCGCTTCTCACAGCCTGAACTTCGAGGCCAACGACATGGCCTCGCGGTGCCTTGAGGGCCCGACCGTCCCACGGTTGGACGACCGGGTCTTCGACTCGGCCATGCAAGCCTTCAATGATCTGGCTGCGCGCTCGCGCATCCAGCACGTGTGCTCGCGCGTGCCGATTGCGCGCACCTGTACTCGAGCGAGGTCGAGGCGGCTGAGACGGAGGCGCGCTCGGCCGGAACGCCTTTGCGGCAGGAGCGAACGGAGGGGGCAAAATCTGAGCTGGCCACTTATGCTTTTGGGAGGGACAAAGTCGTCACTTTTGATGGCACCTTCTTCGCCAACTCGAGCGCTATGAGGGACTCTCAGACGGAGGCGTCGCTTCATAGCGTCTGTGAGCCGGATCCAGAGGCGTCTCGAGTGGCTGGGGGTTTCACTCCTCTGAGCGTTGGGGGGGTGCGGCCCTCTGTCGTGCCGTCAGAGGGGATCGATTGCGAGTGGAAGTATCGGAACGGGCTTTCGGAGCTGCGGCCGGCCGTGCGTGCTCTGGCGCAACGTTGGTGCAACTTTCGAAAAGCGCAAGCGCAAGGGAGCAATGCGCCTCTGAAGCCGGAGGAGTTCGTCGCCATGCGGGAGGGGTTGCCAGCAAACGTGCGGGCCTTGATTGACTTCGTGACGGAGTCGGGTGTCGGATGTGCGGATCCAACCGCGTGCGCGGTATGCAAGGGAATCCCGCGGCGTCCTTGGATGCAAGGGCATCTGAAAGACGGGCGGGTCGGGGCGACAGGATGGTGCCCCAACCACTGGCAGCCGTATGGGGCCCTCCTTCACGCGCTCCTCATCCCTCGCTACTCGTGGGTGTTTGGGCATGTGGTGGGGCTGAAGTTGCTTCGACACCTCCTGCTAGAGGGGCCGTTGGACGAGCGTGGAATGGCATACCTCTCCGAGGACGCCCCAATGCTGGCAACCATCTTGCGCCTGCATCCGGTCGCTGGAGGGTTGTACATCTGCCCCCCAACTCTGCGGCCCCTCTTGCGCGACATCTACGCCACGAACCTACTGTGCTTCGAGCCGAGCGCGAACCGGCCAACCTCGTCCCCTCGGTCGCCCTTGGCGGCCCTCCATGATGCTACGGAGCATTTGTGGACGATTGAGGGCGAGAAGCTGAGGCTCGTGGGCCAACCGGAGCCGGCGGCGATGGGGTACGCGGAAAGGCACGCGGCGGCTCTGAAGAGGGTCGCCAACTCGCTGCTGTTCGAGTTAGAAACGCGCGAGCCTCAGTGCTATGGGGAGGGGGGGTTCCTTTCAGCGCCCTCCGTGGCTTATGCTGAACGAGTCCAAGCTGTTTCCTCGTACGACTTCCACCCTCTGTTGTACGGGCGGCCTCAATTTTTGGATTGGGAGGATGGCACTGGGCGTGGAAAGAAGGGATCGGAGGAGCGTCTCACCCAGCACTGTAGCGCTCCAAATCCGCGGTCGTCAAAGGGCCGGGCGGGGGTTTTCATCGCGTGCTGCCAAGATCGGGCGCCCCTCGGTTATCATTGGCTGAAGGGGGGCGAGTCCGTGTCGGACTTGGGAACCGTGCTGCTCACGCGGTTCCCTTTCAAGGCGCTGCGGGGGCTCACAATTGTCGAGGACGCTGCCTGCAATGCCCAGGAATGGTTCCTCAACCGGGTGCCACAGATAGCTAAGTTCATGTTGTTTGTGGTGGACCGCTTTCACTCGGGGCCAATCAGCTGCGCTCCCTCGGGGGCCAAGCGCTATGCAACGCACACGTGCTCGCCGACACTCTTCATCGATTCCTTTCCCCAACATGCCCAGACGATCACGACGGCATCGGAGGGCATCAACTCGGGCTTGAAGAGATGCGCGCCTAGCCTCCAACAGATCACGAGCATCAAACGGCTGCTGAGTAGAGTCACAACGATCCTTGATACATTGTTCGAACGGTCAAAGTACGCAGTCTACTGGAGCAAGGCTAGCAATCCGTTGAGAGACTCGATCAAGAGGGGGCGTTGTTGACTTTGAAGTCCTTCATACCTTGCAACCGTATTACCCATCTTTTTAAGTCCTTTTCTTTTTGGAGAACAGCATGTTGGGCATTTGAAATGTTGGAAAACGATGTTCACAAGTATTTGGAAATGAGGGATAATGCAATCATGGAGTAACTGCGCCGGCGATTTCTGGGTTGCTCATGGGTTCAATCATGTGTGTTGTTGTGTGTTAAGAAGAGTAATAAGAAGGTAATAAGCATACGTATGTACCCATCACTCGTGACACCATTACCCCCACTGTCAAGTCGCTTTCTTTTTATCAAAACACGTGGTTGGGCATTGCAAAAGTCGAAAGAAATGCACACATACAAATACAAGGGGTAATAAGGTAATGAAGTCATGCACATCTGCGTTGTTAAGCTGTTCATAGGTTCGATCATGTGTGTTGTGTGTAATAGAATAGAGTAATGAAGGGGTAATAAGAAGAGAGGTACCTGTCAAGCATCAGACGATCCATCTTCTGTCTCTTTACGCGTCTCAATATGTCCCTCGTTATCCCTTCGCACCCGCCACCCATGATTGTTTCCACAACACGAGCAAGGAGCATCGACGTTCAGCTTCTGAGGGTCTTTCAAATTATCACTCGATTTGGCAGCTGCAATCCACGGCCCTTCTTTGTCTTCGTCGTACTCAATTCGTTGCCAAGTATCGACCCATTCGACGGTCGAACTCAACAGCTTGCCATCATGAAGCGCCTTGCAAACAGCGCTTTGCGGGGGGAACCACCAACCTTTGTGCGTTCGCTTCCCTTGAATGGTACGCGCTTGTGCCCTCATGTGAAAGACGCCTTTCAGGGAGCGCATCAAAACATTGACATCAATATGGCGATCCTCTTTGATGTCCATTTGTGCACAGAACGTGTCGTATGTACGCTTGATATCCACAGATGCGACCCACGTCTCCAAATGTGGATGGAAGCAACCATTCTCGAGGAGAGCTTGAACCATTTGAACATAGGGGGGGATCGAATGGTCCTTCAATTCTTCACCCCACGTGGTAACTGGCATCTTTTTGGGATCCCAATCGGAGATGTCGATCGACGACAAATATTGATGAAAATGAAAAGCAGTTTGCGGATCTTCCAGCTCCTGCAGAAGCTCGTCAAAGTACTTCTTGTTTCCAACTTTGACTCCCGAGCAATCTTGGCAGGAGTATCGACGATCATCCGCTTCTCTTTTTACTGGCCAAGCATTGTTGGTGGTAAATACGAAATTGCACTTGTCTTGCACGATGATTGCGTCTTGCCCCTTGAGTTCGAGGCACGTCAACTCTTGCGTGATTGCGGACTTCATCCGATCGTTCATTTTGTACGCTCCGCCCCATGAGCCCGCCTCGTCCAGAACAATCAGAAGCTTGTTGACTCCAAGAGAGTTGAACCGTCCAATGACCTTTTCGATTTCATTACAATACAAGTAAACTTTGCCTCCAAGTATCTTGAGGCCGTAGAAATCCCACAACGTCGATTTGCCGCACCCTTGCGGGCCGCGAAACACAAAAGCCACTTGGATCTTCCGCCAGGGCCTTTGAACTCCATGCGCCATCCACTTTATGTTGTATTCAAAGCGTTCGGTGGATTGATCACTTAAAACATTGCGAATGTGCCAGATAAGCTTTGGCATCTTGCCTTCACACTCGATGAGCTCGGCATCGGTCAACTTGCACGTGACCGGTTCAAAATTGAGCCCGCAAAACAGATTGAAGTGTCGAGAAGGAACTCTAGAGAGGTCCGGCTCAAACACGATTTGATCGTATTCGCGGCGTTTTGGACTGCTTTCCCACCACTTTGCCACATCCTTTGCTCTGCCGGGCATACTGTAGAGCTGCAAGTTTTTGCATCTCTCGAGAAAGTTATGGCCGGACCGATTGATTGTCTCCTCTCGCTGAAGATGGCCGGTTGCGTCTCGTGCGTAGATGGTCTCGAGGTAGACTGTTCTCGTCGTTTCAACAACCACTGCAAAGTAGTGATTCATGATGCGTAATACGAGATCTTGTAGATCCACTTTTGCTTTTTTGGTGCGGTCGTCATCTTCTTTGCTCTTCTTCTTATCGGCGTCCCCATTGTTCGGTGCTTCAAAGGGGAGCAGATAGCGTTCACAGTCCTTGATGACTTTCCCATCCGCTCTCAGTGGCAGACACTCGGGCCAAAAGTGAATGCCTAGCAGTTGCTTTGGCCGGTCAATGCACCCTGGACTCAGACAACGGTACACGAAAATGCCCCCGTTACTCAAGATACTAAACTGATTCGAATCGTGTTGGTGACCATTTAAGCAAGTTCGCACGCCGTTCGTCCTAAACTTTATGATTCGCCACCCATTAGGGGTCCTCTCCTCGATCCCGTTGAAAGTGCTATTCTCGTCTTGCACTTCATCACGCATCAATCTCTTGATCTCTTGAAGTGCACCCTCCAATCCAGGGAGGGCCTCCGTGCCTTGCACATCTTGAAGAGGTGTTGACATGTCAACAACAGATGGGGTAGCATCCGACAAGTCACTCTTGCATGAATTGTGCTTTTTGATCTCGTCGGTTGCAGTTTGTTGAACGTAATCGTTGAGAAATTTTACGAGCCACGAAGGCATGTCTTGACATGCTTCAAAGCTGGCGGGCCCATTGAGCCATCTGTAGGTCGCAAGTTTGCCCTGAGGCTTGACGTAGCTTGCAGGCTGAGCAAAAACGATCCCTCCACCGGCTCGACCGTCAATACCATGTTCGATGTCACCAACCTTGATGCCTGCAAAGTTACGGGTGCATCTGAGGCCGGGTGTAGCTGCCTTAAAATAGTAATGGTACCCTCCGGACCCTGATTGTGCCTTTAATGTTTGAGGCTCACCGTGTTCTTTGACAAGTTGGTTCCAGAGCTGGAGCCCCGGTGATCTTCCATCTTTGGAGGACACATCAATATCGACCACAAAGATCCGACTGGGACGTGTCAAAATTGCGATGCCGTTGGCGTCCTTCCTTTCTTGCTTTGCTTTGTTGATAGAATGTTTCCACAACTCTGGTGTTGTGATGTGCGCATACTTGTATGGAAAGTTGGCATCTTTCTTACCCTCCATTTTATTCCAAAACATGCGCACAGGGACTGCATATAGCCCAACGTTGGAGAGCCGTTGGATCTCGTCTGCAACGGCTTGGGCACCTGCGGGCCTAGGAACATGAGCGGCCTGAGGTCCTGAGAGGCTAGCTTGGGCGTCCGCCATTTCTTCGTACATTCTGACAAGATTTTAAATGAGGCCGTTCAAACGCATGTGCGTTCGGCTATTGGGTCAAGCAAATTTTCTTACCTTGATATTAGTACTCAGCATGGAGTCGCATAAAGAAAGCGCTTTGAACGATTGTTGCCCTTGCAAAGTATGCAAAAGTATCAAGCAATTCTACGAAAAGCATCCGAATGCTCGAAAGACTTACACGAAGAGATACTACCAAAGACATAGGGGCGCGATCCTTTTGGCCCAAGCCTTCGCGCGCTACCAGAATGGGCATACGTGTCAACGAAGGACTCTAAAGCGCCTTCTTGATGCCGGCTTTCCGGTGAAGCTTCCGTATAATGCATGGCAGAACGATGATAATCGAATTGGGTCTTCAGAAACGTCAGATGGAATTGAAGTGCCCTCGCTACATCTAGGCGCATTCACAGGCATCCAAGTGTCTTGAAAGCAGCTCCCAAGTGGCAAATTGCAAACCGTTCAAAACTTGATCCGAGTTCCATCCGGGTTAAATTTCTTCTCATATGTCCGCTGTGCCATAGCTGCCGTATGCAACATGCTCCGCGCAAGGTCTTCGCGCTCGGCAATGCTTGGAGCATCTTTGAAGAGGTTGCTTATACATATTTTGCGAAGGAGACATGAACCCACACTCGCGTCCTTGAAAAGGCCCGTGCTGCAAAACTTGGTCAAATAGTTTCGACTCATTGGCTTGTCAGGCGACTTAATTTGAGACAAAAGAAACTTTCGGGGAAAGACTTGAAGGCTTTCGGCAATGACATTGTTGCATCGGGTTGACATGTCTATCGAAGTGGGTCCGTGGTGCTTGACAGACTTATAATTGTTCAAAACCAATCGAAAGTGGTCTTGTGCAATCTCCAAGAGATAGTTCCCGGAACCGGACATGATGTCACGTGCCTCGGCCGTTTTGGTGTCCTTCAAGCGCACGATGGGGCAATCGCTGTAATCATTGCGAATTGCAGCTTGATAGCTATAAAGGCACAGGATGAGGTGGCGAAAAAGCACAATTTTGTCCTCATCGGACAAATCTTTTGGATTCTTGTTTAGAATCTTGCGATTCACTTGCCTTTGCAGCTCCTTTCGGCGTTCATTGATCTGGTCCAAGGTCTTCCAATTGGCCGCTTCCCGCTCTGTCAACTGCTGGGGAGGAGGTTTTGCATCTTCCATGAGCTTTCGAACCTCTATATACCGCTTGTAATAAGCATCATAGAGCTGTTTGTCATCGGGGAATGCTTTGCGAGCTATCACAAGAAGCGGATTTATTCCAGTGACCTGCATCGATAGCTTTGTGGGATACGCTTCTTGAAAATACTTGATAATCCCGTCGGCATCCTTAATCCAATCGAAGCTGGTAAAGTCTTGTTGTTGTTTGAACCCTTGAAACAAGCGCATGACATGGTTGATATATTGTTGAGTCGTCAAATCCTTTCGAGTGCCATCCTCGAAGGCCGAGCGCAGTAGCCTTTCCCCTTGAATTACGATGGTTATATGTCTCGTGCTTTCAATAGGCCCTTGCATGTTTCACGTTATCTGGATACTGCTAAGATTTTTTTGACCATCCAAACGTCCTCAACCCCAGATACCATGAATGACCACGTTCAAAATCGATCGTACGAAATTGAGATGGGTAGCAGCTTTTAACAGTGAAAACGGTTATAGCAATCTCCAAAACCCGACTTGGGGTCCTAGCTGCCGGTTCATTTTGCTAGCAAAATACACTGGCCCTGGATACTGTGACTGGAGGTGTACAAAAATGAGAAATGAGGACTTTTAGCACATTCCCGTTATCTGGGCGACGTTTTTACAGAGGCTTCGTGAGCCACTCGAGCCTTCTCCGGATTTGCAAGCATCTCGAGCCCCAAAAGCGGCTCGTTGTCGTCCCAAATGATACTTGGGGCACGACACGAATAGCCTGACGGGGAGATTGCTCTTGGTGTTGCACGAATCTTGGGAGATGACGCCTCCGTATCATGCTCGTTTGTATGTGCCGATCTGACTGGCAACTTCTGTGCACGGCGTCGTGCTTGAGTGGCGCGATTCAAGGCGCTTCGCCAACTCACTTTCACAGC